AAACAAACAAACAAAAAAAGAGTACAGGGCAGAGAAATCAGAACTGTTGTCTGTATCAACTAACAAATACTGTATCAACTAACAACAAGTTCTGTTGAAACAAATGTTCTTACATCCAGAATGTTCTTTTATTACATTTTAGGAGGTAAAGTACAGCAACTGACTCATTACTCAAATTTCATTTGAGCTGTTGCACAACCTCAGTTAAGAATACTTTTCAATTGAAAAAGGCCTTTTTAGCACTATGAGAAACAACAAAAAAAAATTCCTCTTAAATGCAGTTATGTAGGTGGAATGTAAGTTTCTTCTACTCAGCTATTGGCATGCTGTCATTTCTTTTCATTCCATAGCATCAAGATAATTTTGAGATTTTATAATTAGACCAGCCTTGGAATTTCTTGTAGTGATTTCTAATTCAAAATTGGATGTGATATTTATTGCTGATTCTTCTTCTACTGCCACAGTGAGACTTTCGTCATATACTACCTACAAAGAAGATATCATTGCAAAAAAAATATAGTCTTGTTAAAATTTATTTACATTCAGAAATAGGAATTTCACAGTGCTTTGAACTAGCCAGAGTGCTGGACCAGAGAGATTTTTACCACTGTGCTCATTTTTGCAAGACAGTAAATTATTCCCTCTGACTTCCCTTAAGTCTATCCAGTGCTGATATTTTTTCTGTGATTATGTTTCCATGACACTGCACACAGGTTCTTTCAGTCCTTATTATTATGTTTGAAGCCTTGGGTATTAAAAGGACCAGTATTTTCAATTTAAGTAGCTCTATATCTATATTAGATAAATTTATAAAAGTGATGAGAGTGTTTTTTTAGTTAATTTATTAAATTAAATATTTTTCTCTTGCATACCCATTTTCTGCTCTTCTGGCTGTTGAAAATACTCCATCTAATGTTCCATCTCCTAGGCACCATATGTTTTTGTAGGACAGGTATGGAGAGCTCCTGCATGAGTGCCATTTCTGCTGGTTCCACACCTGTCATGCAGTCAGGTTTTCACCAGCACAATAATTTGGGAGCACCAGTTATGTTTTATGCTGGGGGTTCTTTTCAGAAAAGCTCCCTGGTTTCAATCTAATTGGTGGCTTCAATTCCTCTTCTGAGAAAAGACTCCTTATCAGGACAGACAGGTGTGATAGCAAATCCTGGCATAGAAACAGGATCTGTGAGTGGAAGTGAGCCAATGAGTTTGTTAGAGAAACACAGCTATGGAAACAAAAATCCTGAATTAGTTTATATTGTCATCTGAGCAGGATGCACAAATAGTAACTGTATGAGGACAAAGCAATTGAGATTTAGCTAGAGGAGATATTAATAGGTTGTGGTAATCTCTACATAATATTCCTGCTTAGTGTTTCATTATACTGGATAGGGTTTTTTAAGGCAGCACATATCACAGCACAGAAACCATTCTGCCAAAATTATTGTGACAGAGACTTGCAGAATGACCTGACAACCCTGGGGCGCTTGGTCAGCCGTTCAATTATGTTACTTTTTCCTTCTGTCGTTAAAGAAGAGGGAAGGAGAAAGAGTTACTGAGATGAAATTGTCTGATATGTGTCTGCTTTATGGTCACTGTGGTGGGGCCCTTCCTAGAAGTGTGCTCTCAGTTACCCGAAGAAGCCAGCTCAGATAAATACCTATGACTGAATTTTGTTGCAACAACACAATACAGTGCAGGGTAAGTTTATACTTATAACAACAATGCTGCTAATTGCTATTTGCACAGTCCAAAGTGATATAAATAGCTACCTTTGATCTAAATACCAGCACAGGCAGGAGCTGATAGAGAAATGCATTTCTAAAAGTCAAGGGTGATAGGTAAGAGCAGAGTTTACCTCAGTTTCAAGGTTTCACTTACAACCTTGGCTAAAAACAGGTCTTTTCCCAACGCTTTGTTGTCCGTTGCAGCTCCTACATTCTAACCCTTGTTGAGGAACTTCCTCTGTGAAATAATTTTTTTCCTCACTGCAGCACGGCATGACTGACTTCCCGGAGACAGCACTATTGACAAAGCAGAAATAGTTTTTTATTACTCTCTCCTTTCTTATCATCCCTGTCGTGCTGGCACTTCAGGGCTTCTCAAAGCTGAGAGACATGGAAAGTGGCTCAATGTGTGAGATCTTAGTGGTGCTGCAGGGCCACAGGATATCACAGCTGCTGAAGTGAGAAAAAACAGCCCAAATGGCACCTCTGTAAAATCCCCCTTGTGGGAAATGTGGTCTTGGTGTGTCCAAGGCCACAATGTTTCCTTAGAAACCCAGATCAATCATTCAAGGAAATGTGAGCCACTTCATGCAGTGAATTAATTTCCATACCAAGAAGTTTCCTTTGCTGGAGGAACATCTGACAACATCATATCAGTGAGCCTGTGTGTGATCCCTGCCACAAAGACACCCAGATTCTGCCAAGCAGGGGTGGCAGCAGGAGCCCTGCCATACTCAGGGCTTTGCCAGGTCAGTGGTGGCTGAGCTTCCTCTGCTAGGACAGGTTTAACTCCCTCCACAGAGTGAAAGCTGGCCTTGACCTCCTGAGCAGTGTTTCACGTCACTATTTCCATGCCAGGAAAGCTACTGAGTCAGGTATTTCTGGGACCAGAATATTCTACCTTTATCTAGTTCTGGTGGTTTGGTGAGTCTCTTTGTTTCATGGGGGAAGGAGCAAGTATACTTGAGTGGAACAAGTTTTACTAGCAACAGGATGCCTACAGATAGGACCTTAGGGATTTCTCAGATTCTGACCTTTAGGTCAGATGCCTAATCCTTTACCATCCCTGCTGAGATGGCCAGTTTGCTTGGGAATGATCCTGGTGAGGAGTTATCCTTGTCGGATCTGCCCATAAACTTCAGCGAGCTCAGAGTTTTGTTGTGCTTGGACTGCTGCCATGCAAACCTCAAATCCTTGTAAAATTTCTCTGAAATGAATGAACAATACAGTGTGGAAGTTCTCTCCTGCCCCTTTACCTCACACATCCCAGTTACACCAGAAATTACTTCTAACCTAGTCATGCATGTCAAAGGGGAAAAGGGGATGGGAAGAGCTGCCTGTGACAATAATCCTCTCTGTTGCTGCCTCATATTTTTGTTAAATGTGATACTGGCAGCAGGTGTGTGCTAAGCTCCCCTCATTGCCCATGACAGTCATGGAGCAGCTCCAGTCCTGGCACAATCAGCAGTGGAACATTTTGGGGGAGGTCTCCCAAACTGTGGACACCTGAGTGGGAGCAGAGTCACCAGGAGCCCACAGCCAGTGCAAGAGTGACCAATGGGACCTGAGTGTGGCCAGGGGAGCACTGGTACAGCCTCACCCACTGCCTACCTTCTGATAGACACTGCAACTTAAGGCATTATGCCAAGGCAGCTATGAAATCCCAGCTATTTTATAACAAAATTTGAAACATCAGTTGAAGGTAAGGTCTGGTTTTCTCAGTATTCATAATGTTTCTCAAAAAGCAGACCATAAGGGAGTAATAGCTTTTGAGACCTGAATAAGTGGTCCCCAGCTAGCCTACAAAACCACATTCCTTGAAAAAGGATTGGGGAAGTCCAAAGGAAACCAGTGAATCTATTGTAGTAGCCAAGTAATATTTTAGTCAGTGCTTTTGCATTTCAAGCTGCAAGCTGAAATGTAGCTATTTGATTTTCAAATGCTTGGCCAAACCATTCAAATGAGGCTTTATCAGAAGTGTGATTGTTTGTTTAACCTCAAAAAGGACATCCTAAAAAATTGTGGAGAATGAGGAAATCCCCTTATAGTGGATGCAACAGTACAGTCATGACTCAGGATCTAAAGGGCTGGTGGGGTCTGGCTGATGGGGTGGCTGTTGTGTGACACACAAAGCCAGGTAGCCAGGTCTGGCTGATGGTGTGGCTGTTGTGTGACACTCAAAGACAGGTAGCCAGGTCTGGCTGATGGGGTGGCTGTTGTGTGACACACAAAGCCAGGTAGCCAGGTCTGGCTGATGATGTGACAAACAAAGCCAGGTAGCCAGGCACAGGCAGTGTGTGCAGGGAGATGCTGGATGAATGCTCCTGCTGGTATCGATGCCAAGAGTTGCCTACACTTTCCTGGCCTCAGGTTGTGTGCTGCTCATGGCTGGCCACACTCCAGTTCCTCTAGATGTTATTCCCTACTGTCCTTCTGGGGATGTGTTTTGGCTCGAGGTAGCCATGCTTAAAGACTCTTGAGAAGCACAGGCCAGGAAAAGAACACCAGGTGCTTGTCCTTTCCTACTGCTCACACCTCTGGAGGAGCTACCCTGAAAACTTTGTTTATAACACTAATAAAGACAACTAGATAATATGGGATATTTGATGCATAAAAACATGAGAGACCTAATGCAATTTTATTTTAAAATCTAATTAGTTATTTGTTCAAAAGTGAATTGGTCACATTCATGTTTCTGTGAAATAAGTCAGGCATCTTCAAAATATATGTCTTCAAGTTACTTAGGAGCATTAAACTAATATTAGAAATGAAATGTTCAAAACATAGTAAAAGTATTTTACTCTAATCTACTTTCATATTTTCAGACTGACATCATCTTATTGCCTATTTTTGCAATGTATTAAAGGATGGAAGTCTAGCCACTGATTTTGTTTATTTTATAAAAGAAATTAAACAGAAACATTAGCGTAGTTCTGATGTATAGTTTCATTTTATTCAGTATTAGTTATTCGTGGAAAATAAACCTTTTTTTTTTCTTCTTCTTGGGAATTTTTTTTCCAATTTGCAGGAATAAAAATGACAGAAAAATCCAAGCTGAAGTTTTAAATTAGCTGAAAAAAATTACAGTCCAAGATGTGCTTAGGTCTTTTAATCTTATCAACAAGGCCCAGGATTGAGGAACTGAGAAATGACCTTCAGAGGGTTTTTGTGTGTAGTCAAAGGCATAAACAGGAATATGTAAGGAATACTATTTTTTTTTTCTTTCTCATGTGCTTGGTTAACACTATGACTCTCTACCTTCTTGTCTTTCAGCCACATAATCAATGAGCTGATAGAAACAGAACGGGTTTATGTAGAAGAACTTCAAAGTATAATAGAGGTAAGAAACTCTTCTGAAATTACTTTTTAGTGCTTAATCTCTAAGTCATCACTGCAGGTGCACATCCTTCATGGGCTGAGCACTCCCACCTCCTGTTTATAACACACAGGCTGTGTTGGCAAGATAGCTCAGCCTTGGAGATGGATAATAGGAAGGATGTTGTGAACATCCTTCCTCAGGCCTTAAAGGAAAAAGCACCTTCTCTGGCCCGAGCCCACAGAATGACAATTTGCATGGTTCTGAAAGTTATGGACAGAGAGAGTTAATAATGTCTTTTCAAAATATTACTAATAGGTCTCAGAAGCAGCACTTTGATGTCCATGGGGCCAGCCACTAAATTCTGTGAATCTGCATTTGGAAAATGATTGACGAAAAAGGAAGGCACCCCTCCTGCTCTTCTTTATTGTCCCATGTTGTTCTTGAACACAGAAAAAAAAGCTCATGCTGCAAATATAATTCTTGAACTTTTGAAAACTATAGGATACCAGCATATTCAGTGTGTGTGGAGTCTGAGGTCCCCAATCTGTGGGAGGACAGAAGCTGAGTAGGGATCAATCATGCTTATATTTGGGTGGGACTTTTGGGACGTGTGGTTGATTCTTTATTGCATTTGTTCCATGGGAGCTGGCAGCTCTGGTAATTGATGTATTACTCTTGAGTTTAAAATCCGAATGTTCTTTTCTCAAAGTTATAATTGAAGAAACACAATACAGCTTTTACAAGAAACAAAAAAAATAGTCCAACAAATAAATCCAAACTAACTCTTGTGCAATGAAGCAGCGTAGCAGAAAGATATCTGCCTGTCAATCTTAGCAGTCCCCATCCCTACATGACCCAAATGGCTTTTGAATCCTAGAGACATAATTTTATCTATTTTTTCTCAAGCTTGTGACCTGTTCATTTGTGGTTAAAATGTGTTTGCACAGTTACAGGGTAAAATCTCTGGGGAAAATCAGAAGCATCAGGAATTCATGGGAGCAACAAAGCAGCAGGCATGGGAGAAGCTTTGTTTGCTCTGTGGAGAACAAAAGCACATGAACTTTGGGGCTTTCCAGTGCCTTGAACACAGTACTTCTTCCCTGGTAAAAACAGTCTGGTTTTATTTTCCACTCTTGCCTGCAGGGATACGCTTCAGAAATGGACAATCCCAATTTAGTACATCTGATTCCATCTGCACTTCAGAACAAGAAGGAAATTCTTTTTGGGAACCTCCCAGAAATCTACTATTTCCACAACAGGTACCTGGGAACTGGTGGTTGTCCTGCATCCTTGGGTGCCACCATCACGTCCAGTGCTTTTCTGTTGGGTGCTTTCTCATGCTTATACCTACACTGGCAGGAAAAGTCATCCTCACTTGGTCTCTGTGTGTATCCTGTAAAACCCACGTGTAGAGAACACCTCCAAGATCATCTATTTCATCTTTTGTTTGGGTGAAGATTGTACTCTTTGTGCATTTACTAGTGATTTCCCCTGGCAGGTTCCATTTTGAATGTCACCTGTGGTCAGTATATTACCACCTCTCTTGGTACACTGGAAGACGTCACAGGACTAAATCCTGATACTTTCTGTCTGGCAAGACACCTTTGTGAGGAAGTTTTCTTAGTGTTCAGCTAATTTGTCCTATGTTTCTGTTATCAGATCAGAAGATGTTCTATATTTGATAGCACTTTTCTTTTTATCCCTCATATAAGATCACAAACTTTCCCAGAAGCCATGTCCATACTGTGGATAAGGAAACCCAGAGCCCATAACTACAGAATATAAGTTATGAACAAGATAAACCCTTTTGCAATCAGCTTTCAAAACACAAAGCTTAGGGCTACTTCTATAAATGTCTTGCTTTTCCTAGCCTTGCTTAAGCAAGACTGGCTGTAACCAAAGGGGGAATTGAGGAACTCTTTTGAATAATAATTGCCTGTAAGATGTAACAAATAGTTGAACAGAATAAATTAAAAAAATCTCTTTTGCAAGTCTTAATATTATGCCAGAGTAGTTAATACATAGTAGAAAAAGCTATTTTCCAGTTTATATATTATTTTCAAAGATTGTGTCTTCCACTCGGAGAAAGATATTCCTCTCCCTTTGCAAGCCCACTCTTTCTTTCCCTAAAGGTTTAGTGCATTGACTGTCACTGCAGAAGCCTTTGGACTACATCCCATATTTTCACTGCTTGCTGATTGAGCAACTGCCTCTGACAGAGCATTCCTGTCTTTTCTAGCTGTTCTGAAAAATCCTCATACCCAAATGGAAAGCAGGTATTTGGGCTGCACATTAGAAACAAATTTCAACAGCCAGAGGAATCAGATGTAGCAGATAAAATATGATAATATTTGTGATTTAGGGAATCAGGTGGCAGCCACATCCCATTTTTCTAAAATATATATTTCTTGATGTGTTACCTTCCCCACTGAATCCTCATATTCCAGAAATGAAAGCTTTAAGTTGGATTTACACAAGCTAACATACAATGTGAATGGGATTTTACATTACTCTTTCTCTTTTTTCTTCCTCTCAGGATTTTCCTTAAGGAGATAGAAAATTGCATTGAAAACCCTGAGCTTCTTGCCCGATGCTTTTTGAAAAGAGTAAGTATATCCTTTTTCAGGTTTGAATGAGTATCTATGGTCTTATCCTACAGTATTTACAGATTTAGTCTCATCTTTTCAGCCTGTTTGCTTTTGTGAATGAGGGAAACTCCTCTAAGCAGATACTCCCATATTAAGCCACAGTTACCAAGCATATATTCTGATATCTGACCCTTTACCTGGTTTACTGACAGGAAGAGATCTGTTACCAGTGCTTTACAAGTATTTTAAGTCCCATTTAAAAGAAAAAACCCAAAAAATAACAGAGATTCAAATGTTTGACATGCTTTTCATATCAGACATATCTATAGCAGGAGAATGATGTAACCCAGACACCACCCTGCAGTAAATAAGCAGAGGATGGTGTCACAGCAGGTTGCTCTGAGTGCAGACAACACATCCTGTTCCTGCTTTATCTTATCTCTCTCTTCTCTGCACAATTCAGGACACTTGGTCCCCTAGAACTGTCCCAGCTCTGCTGCTGTCCTGCATGGACCCCACCATCCCCATAAGACTCTGTGAGGTCGATTCCCTTTATTTCTCCACACAACTCACCAAGTGGGATTCTCCCCTCTGCTGAGGTGACTCTCAGTGCCCAAGTGCTGCAGCTCTCTCCAAGAGCTGCCTGTGATGTCCCTCCTCCACCCCCACTCAGCCTGACCATTAGTTCTTTCCTGCAACACAACCAAAGGTGCTTGTTTATATAGCACTCCTTCAGGGGCCCTATTAATGAAAAAAAAAATCTGTTTTGGTGGTTTGCTACTGCTTTCAGAGTTTGACAAAACTGTGTGAATAAGGCTCTGTGTTTTGCACAGGAAATGGAAGTGGCAGGAGAAATGGGAAAGTCTGTCCACTGTAGTCAAAGGTACCTCCTGCTTCTACTGTATACTACAGGCAGCATTTGCTGCTTTTCCAGAGTACGCATTAAATACAGCCATGTTTGGATGAACCAGTCAGAGGTGCTGAGCACTGCCACATTACTAAGGTTTAATGGGAATTTGAGCATGTGATACTTGCAAAGGGTATGCTTCCAATTTACAAACAGGTCAGGCTGGAGAGAATCACGCAAGTGTAAATGTGATTATATGTCCATTGAATTATTTTCTGTTCAACAACTCAGCATTTAGAGCTTGAGTAAATGACACTACTAAGGCATATGTTGTTAGCCTAGGATTCAGATACTGGGCAGGAAAATACTGTGGTGAAATCATTATGCAAATGAGGAAAAGCAGTCTTTGAAGAATGCAGACCTCTGAAACCAAGAAATGTAAAATAGTCCATGTGCTGCATATATCCATAAAGAATGCAGCTAAATAAAAATTCTTGATATAGAAATGTAGAAATGTTCTGATTCTGCAGGAGGTTCAAATTCTATATTTAAGTATTGTAGCTTGTCTCTCTGTAAAAACAGCTGTTAAGCGCAATTCTCCTCACTATTATACCAATATGAAAACAGCACTAAAGCAGGGATTCAGGTATGAAGTGAAAGAAAATCAGTCCTTCCATCACCTTAGCTCATCAGTTTCTGTGGCCTCATCAAACCACACTAAATCTATCTAATAAGAGGTTAAATCATGCATTTGCTTTCTCCCTGTTTCAAATTTCACACTAAGAAAGCACAAGCTTCTCTCTTGAGATGTCTCTGCTCACACAGTAGCACCTTTGATTCCTGCCCTTATGTTCTGTTTTTAGAAGAAGCCACATAAAGTCCAGAAATGTGTTGTTTCTGTTGGACTGCCTTTGGGAGGCACAAACAAAAGTCTGGTTGTGTGTTTGTGCTCCCTATGATTTGGCAGCTTTTTATGCCTTCCTGCTGAGCAGTGGCTTCTGGCTGGCCCGTGAGTTACGGCCGTGCTTGCAATGACAGGGGCAAACAGAAGCAGCTGCTGTTCCAAGTGATGCTGAGCTCTGGGAGGAGCTCACACTCTTCAGGTTGTCCCCCTTTGTATGGGTGTGACCGTCCTTCTACAACAACAGGCTGGGTCTATGATTGGAAACAGACAATTTTTTAAAAATTCATACTTTGAAGAGTTTTACTCTGTCTGATCACACTGGGCCTTTTGAGCCCTGATTCCAGAGCTGCTTGAAAGTATCCTGAGAGCTGCAGTGAGACACTCTGGTGCCAGAGTCACTCCATCCCCTGCCAGCCATTCCTCTGCCATGGCCCCACACACCTTCCCAGCTCCACCAATGCCACCTGGGCTGCTGTCAGCATGAATGTGAACCCTGCATCTCAGGTGATGGGAGAAACAGCCTGTGGAGTCTCTCTCTGGCTTTGTCTCCTGGAACATGGCAGCAAAATCTGGTAAAAGAGGAGCCAGAAATGCCTTTCTTGTTCTCCCTCCCACTTTGCCTGACCTCGTTTAGGGCATGATCTTCAGAGGAGCTAAATTACAAGTGAGCCAGCTCAACTTTACCCACATGGCAGCTATTTTGCCATCACCAAGATGCCTGACCTTCCTTACAGCTATGTGGTCAAGGACTACGCAGCATTCAAAGGCAGGAGGGATGTGCACTGAATTCCTTTCAGAATGGTCTTCTGGTGCTTTATCAGAAACAGGAGGGACACTCTGGGCTGATCTGCTTTCCAAAGGGCTGAGAAGAAGGAAACCTTACCAAACCAAGGCAAGAATGCCCAGGATGGAACCAAAGGTGTCAGACTGCTTACCAGAATGTGCCAGGTGATGTGTCTGGCAGGAGTGATTCACTGTGGATTACCACTCTTCACTTATTCATATTGCTAACCTTAAAAAAGGGAATAGTTTAATAGGAGCCAGCAGTTGGAACATTTGGTCATTCAGGGAGAAAGAAGCATTTAGAAAAGAAATCTACCTGTGAAAGAACAGTAGCAGCTGACCAAAAACCTGTGAGCTGGATTCAAAGGTCTAAATTCTGGGCTAATGCAAAAACTATCCATAAATCAGCAGTCAAAAAGATAATTGGAACTGTGCATACATGCCATGTGCATTGGAACTTACAGAGCTGTCAGGGTCCAAATCAGTGGAAAGGAAAAGCTTTGCAGGAGAGAGGAGCATGGTGTAAAAGTACCAGCAAGAAGTCAGAACCTTTGCATGTGAAAATAGAGATGTGTGGAATATTTAAGACTGGGATTTGAATAATTAGACAATCAATTATTTCTTGGCATTTTAAAGTCTGAGCCTAATTCTATTCATAACACTATTGCAAAACTTAAAGCTGTAATTAAATATGTAAGTATCACCCTTAGCAGGTGTCAGTGATTTAGGCAGCAGTAGATTGCACTGGCATAGGGTGGTTCCACTATGGCAAATTACTGGTAAATTGTTGGTTATTGTACCTTTTCTTTAAGTTTAAATTGGTTCTTTTCTCTTATTCCTGATAGTTCTCTTGTCTGTTGCTCTCTCTGCTCTTCTTACCCAGTCCAGTTAGGTTTCTGTGGGCTAGGATGAGATTGTAATGCTTGATTATGCTTTGTTGCTATTTTTAGTTCTGTGGGGTTTACCCTCTGCTAACTTCCCTCCAGGGCAACATGTACAAACAAATTATATTTTTGTGAAGAAAACTCTGCACCTGTTTTGAAACAGAACCATAAATATTCTATGGAGTTGCAACAGAAGAGGTTTTTGTGTTGCATAATCCTTGACACAGTGTAGTGTTAGGTGGCACAGCTCTGATTTCCCAGCTGATTCATCAGGGTGATGTCAGGATGGGTCTGTAGAGGAAGACAGTAGCAATGCTGATTTCTTCTGGTAATTGTATAGAAGGAAGTGATTTCCCTGCAGCAGGAGTGCATGGGAACTGCCTGGTGGGCTGAAAGCACAGAGGAATTATCTGGGAATTGCTGAGATTTATTTTTGGTGTTTGCTTTGCTTTGCTGAGGTCACATCCAGCAGGGTAGGTACAGATGAAGGTGGGAAGTTCCCGCTGGTCGGGCACAGCCCTGCTCAGGAGCCCCATGGCACTGCCCCGTGGCCACCCGGGGGCACAGGCAGCAAGCCCAGGACCTGGCAGGGGAACACCCAGGACCTGGCAGGGGAACACCCATCTCTGCATCCACCTGCAGAGCCCAGGCAGCCCAGAACACCCTCTCCAGGCTTTTGTAGAGATTGTCTCTGTTTTCACGGAAGTCAGGGAGATTTTTGCCATGGACCTCAGTGAGAGCACTTGGAGTGTAGTCAAAGCTAAATAAAGTGAATCCACCCACTTCTAATTTGGAGAGGACAAGGTTTAAGCACATCCCCCTGCCTGGCCTGGGACATCATCATGAAAAACTTCCTCCTTTTTAACTTGTCCTTGTACTGTTGAAAGCCAACAATATTTTTGAAGTGTGTTGAACTGGTAAACCTTAGTCATCATTAACAATTACAGTCTGTGCAAATATTATTAATAAAATTGTTAATAAAGCTTAAATTTCTAATGTTTCTTTTTCTTTTTGTTTTGTTTCGGTTTTTTCTCAAACCATCAATTCACCTCCCTGAAAAAGATACTGGTTTTGCTGTTAGATTATTTATCTTCCAGTCTACAGTCTCCTTGCTTTGTATGAAAAGTGAGGAAAAATAATTCTCACTTTCAGGTGTATTTAACTTAATTAGAAGTAAAAATCAGGTTTAGTGGTTACAGTATGTTTTTTACAGTTATTCCACGTAATAATTACTTCATGTCTTAGGATGGAAGGTAAGAAAAAGTGTGATTCAAGAAAGACACTCTGAATTCTTTTTCCTTCCCTTACCTAAACTCTTCTTTTTTTGTAGAAGGAGGACCTCCAAATATATGAAAAGTACTGTCAGAACAAACCAAGGTCTGAAGCTCTCTGGAGACAGTGTGGAGACAGCATCTTTTTTCAGGTGGAATTTCATTGCAGACTAGCAGTGCAAGGCCCTCAAAGCTCATTTTCCCTGTGTATCTCTATTCTTTAGGGAACCTAGAGTAAAAGACACACTTTCCTGCATGCTTCTTACACTGATGGCAGATTGGCAGGTGCCCAGTGTGTGTCAAGGTGTTCTCTACAGGAGACTGGGCAGGTAGAGCAGTGGGTAGATTTCCTGGACAGGAGCCTGGCTCTGCAGGCTATACCCACACCAAAAAGTGCTGGCTGCTTTGCAACTCCCAGCTGATTGCAATCTCATCAGCAGGGAATGCCAGATTTCAACACCAAGTGGAACCTGAACATTAGCTCTTGTTTAGATCTATTTTCACTGTGGGATAAGGAACCCAGAAATTTCTATGCAAATGGAACAAATTTGTCTCTCAATTAATTCACAGATTTATGATCTTCAGATTGTGAAATGATAGTGATCTTGGTGACTTGCCTGTGTTTCAATAAACAATTTTATTTTTCTTCCATGTTGTCTCCTGCAGGAATGTCAGCGTAAATTGGATCATAAGCTCTCACTTGATGCTTATCTCTTAAAGCCAGTTCAGAGAATCACCAAGTACCAGCTGCTGCTAAAGGTAAGTTCTCCATGACAGTGCAGAGAATTCCAATGTATGGCTTGTTTTACTTCCAGAATTGCATATCAGTCAGGAGTACCTGGATATAAATGCTCACCCAGTTCTTCAGCAAATAACTCAGCATTTTTCAGTTGCAAAATGGTAGAAAACAATCTTCTACAGGGACTTCCTGTTCCCAGTCTATTTTAGATTTTAGATTAGGCTTTTTCCCCATAGTTCCCAATCTATTTTAGATTGGGAGCTGCTATTATTTAGCAGTACTTATACTAAGTAATAGCAGTATACTATTACATGTATAGCTTTCTCTATATAAAATATTTTACTACATTTTTTAAGATAGTAAGTATTTTATTTTCTTACTTATTTTTTATTTCTCTTTAAACAGAAATTGAGCTTGTCTTTATTGTGTCAGTATATGGTTTTACAATTTGAAAACAGGAACTGATGCCTTAAATCCTGTCAGTAACATCTGTCCCTCTTTAACAAAACTCTTTCAGCTCCCTGAAGTAATAGTTTCCCATGGTTGTGACTCAAACCTTTCAGAGGGAGCCACTCCCTTTTGCTGCTTCTTTTTAAAAGACACAGCCAGGAACAAATTGTCATTTTTCCACAGAGTGAATATGTGAACTTCCTCTTGATTGGTTGGAACCATGAGTGGTCCATGCTTGAAATTCTGGTCTGAACTGGGCAATAGAAAATATATACACTCAAAACAATGATTTTTACTTTTTAAGGTGGTGGCTTAAATTTCTGTCTCCATCTACTCAGTTCTTAAAAATAATACTTACTGACTTTCCCTACAGGAAGGTCATGAAAGTGAATTACATGCTGTTCTCAAGCCTCTGGGCCTAAAGTAGTGTTATGTACTGTCATGAAATTTAGCACTGAAATTTGCAATGAAGATTTTAGGTTGCCATTTAACTTGCTAACAGCTACTATGGCACTGCTGAAAATGTGCCAGTATAAGCCATGGGAGGGCCTGGTTGGCCATTCTTGTATTTCTGTGAACTGCTTATTGACTTCATGTAAAACTATAGAGTCCAAATATTGAATATGGATATTGACAAGGATGTAACTTCACTGATTCCAGTAGATTTACATCAACTCTATTTCTTGAAACTATTCTGTGAGAAGGGAAAAAAATGTCAAGGTCTCCAGGAAAGCAAGAGTAAAACAGATTTTACTTTTAATTTGAAATATGACTGTAAATAAATCCAAGATTAGATCAAGGAGTAAAATTCTCAAGCAAAACAGGTCTCAGCCATTGGGGTTTAAAGCTTGTCAGACCAGTTTCATACTTAGCAACAACACATTGGCACTGGCATTTACTTTGTCAGGGTTTATGAGGTCTGGGAAGATGGTGCACTCCATCCCTGGCTGCAGGAGCATTTAAAATGCACAAAAATGGAAGCCAGTGAAAAATTGGTAGCAAACAAGTGCTTAAGAAACTGTGTGCCTTGAGTGGTGGGCAGACTGGATTTGAATTGTGGGTCACAATTACTGCAACCCTCTGGTTTCAATCAGTTTAGCTAATATGCTCATGCTGATAAAAGCAGCATGCTCACATCTCATGAGATCCATCCTCATTCTGGAAAATGTGCACAGGTACTGTAGAAATGCATCCTGCCTTTACCTTCTAATCCCTGGTTACCCAAGCACTTGAGGAGGGACTGCTGCTGTTTGGGGTTTGCAGGAACTACCTTTTTCCATCCCTATTTTACAGGAATACAAGCACCTCAGCTTTTGGATTAAGATATTTCCAAACTCAAAATGTCAAACCTGCCAAATTCAGACTAGAAATTAATTCATATTTTTAACAGTGGTAATAAGTACTGGAACTAATTGCAGAAGAAAATGGAGAATTTTCTAACACCTGAAATAATTACACTGAGTTTCTTTTCTAGCAGATGTGAAGAAAAAAAAACCTGGATGTAATTCTATGGCATGCAAGGAGTTCATTGCAAATATGTCAGAATGGTCCTGTCTATCTTAAATGAACCCTTTAAACTTGAAAATGTTCAAAAGATCAAAATGTGTGTCCTCAGTGACCACACTAGTGAATGTCATATTTGGGGTTTTTTGGGTTTTTTTGTTCCTCTTTTGTTTTCCTCTAGTTCTGTTACTTTTTTTAAACAACACAAATTCCAGGAGGATTGTCTTACAGTGTCTTCTGGTATCAGAAATTCTCAAGTATTCCCCATATCTTTTTTTAATCAGGAAATGCTGAAGTGCAGCAAGAATTCAGAAGGCACTGCTGAATTGGAAGAAGCCCTGGCCACGGTGCTTGATATCATCAAATCAGTAAATGACTCCATGCACCAGATAGCAATCACAGGATATGAGGTAACTGCTGCTGTTCCTACTCTGGTCTGTCTGAGCCATCCCATGTTCCTGTCACCACTGGTCATGCTGTGCCCACGGCTGGTACTGTGCTTTATGGAGCCTGTGCCACATTCCTGAAGGGTGTCACTCAGAGATGTGTTGTGATGACCAAAAATACATCTCAGCACACCTGTCACGTGGAGCTGGGGTGTGAATGTGGGGGCATAATGGGGAAAATGCAGGACTTTTGAGTAATTGCACCCAAAACTGATTTGTAGGTGAGAGGTACAAGTGTGGCAGAGCTAACTTAAGAAATTTGCTGAAACTTTGTGACTCCTGTAAAACTCAAGTGTTTTCAAATCTTTTGCACTTAGGGAGAAAAATGTGGCTTTCATTTAAAGTGGGTACTGGAATCTGTGCCAATGATTGAAAAGCTTGTTATCGGAAATGTGAAATAACAACCACGGTACAAATCAAAGGGCACAAATACATGTCTCTGCAGAAGCTCCATTGAAGTCATATGACTTTCAAGATCTAGTGCTGACTACATAAAATGAGCCCTTAAGTGAGAAGTGGAAGTGATTGACACATAAAGGAGAAACAAGCCTGGCAAAATGAGGCCTGAGAATCATGTGGTTGCCCATTTTGAAATAGCTGCAGGGTGAAATGTCAAGAAAGAAACAATATACTGAGTATTGTTCAAAGAATTTTTACATCACAGTAACAGGCTTTAATCCAGAAAAACTATTTTGTGCAGAACAACCTGATTTCCTGAGGAGGTGCTGAGGTCTATACAGACAAGGTCTGTGTGGGAAGAGTTGCTCTGTTTATCAGGATGGGAGTGGCCCTAGGAGTTTTGATTTCTATGGTTCTCTTTTGTGCAAGTGCATCTGGTAGCTGAGGAACCCATGCCTGCTGCTAACATGATTTTATGAATAAATTCAACTGCTTGCTCATTTAACTGCTTGTCAGAGATCCATTGCTGCACACAGCTGCAGATGAGGACTGTGCATTACACTTGGGATGAGAATTTGAGTTCTGCCTGCAGTAGCTGTGCTGGGTTGAAGGTGAAGCAGTGGCCACTGGCAAGCACTGAATAAGTTTGGTGATTGTGGGTCAGAGAAACACCACAGGTCATAAATACAATCTTAGATCTGCTAAACCTGACAAGCTTAAATAAAGCAGCACATGGTCATGGCTAAGTCTGAGTGTCTCAGACACTCATTTTAGTTCATTTTAGAAAAACTCTTTAGAGCCTCTATATTATTATTGCAGACTTGAACCAGTCAACATGGACATGGATACAGCACACATTCTACCTCCCAGTTTCCACTGTTTCTTATTAATTCCCAAAGGGAAAGGTAGCTTTCCTCCTGTATTTCTCAGTTTAAATGTATGTACTTGCAGCAATTCAGCAAAAAAATTATTTCAAAACAGTTCTGTAAAGGGAAGGGAAGAAGAACTTCTCCAAGAAAGGTAACATGTCCTGAATAGGGGGGATTTATCCAGATTCCTGTCTATATAAATGCTGAGGTCATCCTTTTGTCTATTCCTTGCTTTAAAGTGTGAGTAGTTTTGTACTCAGGAATTCAACAGAACATTCCTGTTCCTTTTCAAATTCTACTTTTGAATTTTCCAGCCTTCATGAAATACCAGATAGTAACTCCAAGGACTAGATTTTTGCCTCTGATTTCTTAGCTGAACTGCAAAACATGGCACAGTGGGACATGGCCACTGTTTAGCCCAATGTTGACAGCATTCCTGAGATGGTTTGTTACATGATTATTAAATGGGGTGAAAGTGTGAAAGAGGATGTACCCAATAATTTCTTCTCCCTGTTCCACCTGTCCCAGATGCTCAGCTGTAGTGCCAAATAAACACCTCCCATAGACAATGAAACCACACCCCATCTTGTGGAATCTTTTCTACACAGCCGTGATAGAAATACTTGCCTGGAAAACCTTTCAGAGAGGGATAGTATGGCAGTAGGAAAGCAGCTTTGGTGACAGCTGATGAATGCTCCCAACTGCATATTCTGTTTCTTGGACTTGGGCACATGCAGATTTGAGGAGCTGAACTCCTGTGTAAGAAAATGCTAACATGTAAGTCTGGGGTTGGTTCAGTGTATGTTTTTTATGTTTTAGCAAAACCACAAAAAAAAAGCTCAGAGAGCAGAAGATTTAGATGTGTTTCCTACTATTATCCTAATATTTGTACACAATCTGGCCTGGGTAGTTTGTCCATGAATTATGATGAGGGATTCTTATAAATTATCGTATGTATTGCTCATCTTCCATAAACATGGGATACTATGAAATGCTCAAACAGGGGATAATTATATTTGAGATAGTGACCAAATCCTCCACTTTATAGAAACTTCCTTTAGGATGAAACATTGCTGTTCACTAGCAGAAATAACAAGAAACAGTGTCCTCCTATTTGCTGCCTACACTGAAGAGAGTGCAGTGCTCGTGGGCTGATATTCAAAGTGTCCTGTGGGATTGCTGCCATCCCTGTCTGTCTCGTTCTTGTCTCCCACATCACTCACCATTATCCCAATCCCAGAGTTAAGGCTGGAGAGACAGAGCTGTCACAAGAGTTGAACTGAGCTTCTGGATCTCAGTGCTGTATTGAACAGTGCCTGGAGTGACAGAAGCCTCTCACCATTGTCAGAACAATGTAGAAAATATGCTTGGGGTTTTTTTTTGTTTTTTAATTTAGCTTTGCATATCAATGTGCTTTTCATAGGCTTGCAGTTTATAGCTACATGCACCTACAGATACAAACACCCACAGTCCTGTATGCACAAAGGAAGTACCGAGGTCTAGATATTAAAGATGACAGACTTATCTAAATTGCTGAGGGTTTCTGAATGGTTTGGAGAGTCTAATAATATCCTGATACAGAGTGTAGAAGTACCTAGTAAAGCTCTGGTTTTGCAGTTGAATGTAGGGTAGAGGAGGGGGAGTGAGAGGGGAGAGCAGGTTGCAATTCTTAGTATAAGAAATGAGACATTCCCACTTGAAGTCAACATCTTCACCTTACAATCAACAGAACATGCAAATGTTGAAAGTAAGTACTTTAATAATGCACTGGGATTATTCCCTCAACTTATTATACAAAGCATTCCTAGGAAAACTTGTGTTAAGATAGTTATGATTATCATAATTTGTTGAATCCCATTACCATATAGGCATTGCCATGTCTTATATACATACATTCCTCCACTCTTAACATGGGATTGTTCTGGTGACATCTGAGCTAAATATTTACATCAGTTGAAGTATTTTCCCATCAGTGGTCTTCATACAAGAGCTTTAATTTAGAAAGGTCTTGTTCCTGCCTAGTTTCACTCTCCCTCAGGTGCTTTTATGGCTCCTTGGTGCATTCACTCCCTCTTTGCCCAGGGCTGTGCAGTGTTGCATAGTTTGCAGATGGTGAGCCAAGAAATTATTGACAAAGCTTGTAAAGACAGTTTTGAAGGAGGGAATTGCATACCTACACAGCTCTAGGCACTGATCTGTGACTTCAGGCATCTAAGCTCTTTCAAGGTTTTGCCCAGGGATGGAGGAAGCTTGTACAGGAGTGGAAACTGAAACTAGATCTTCCAGAGTCAAAGCCTTTGTTTGGGTATTGGACTGCACTGGCCCTTCCTGCTGCCTTGGAGTCAGGGGCCTTGAAACCCAGTTTTTGTCAGAAGAAGCTTCCTCTGAGATCACCAGAGGGGACAGCCTCTGTGTCACATCCAAAGAGATCCTGAGACGGACCTTAAATGCTGACTATGATTGGGGAGACAAACTGGGAATTGTGGGCATGGAAACTGGTGAGTTAATGGTTGTGGGAAGAAACCACACAGGCTTAGCAGAGGGACATGTGCACTCTTCAACACAAGGAATTCCTCTGCCTGGAACCTCAAACACCACCAGAGCAATTAATTGTGCCTGGGACTACCCTGGTTTGAATGTGATGTATGCTCTCTCTTTTCCCTGCTTGCTAGGGGGATGTCAGTGAGCTTGGCAAGCTGTTGATGCAAGGTTCCTTCAACGTATGGACTGACCACAAGAAGGGGCACAACAAGGTGAAGGACTTGGCTAGATTCAAACCAATGCAGAGACACCTCTTCCTCTATACAAAGATGCTACTTTTCTGCAAGAAACGGGAGGAGAACACGGATGGCCACGAGAAGACAGCTTCATACAGCTTTAAAAATTCATTAAAGGTAATAAATGCAGTAATGGTGGGGGAGGGAAATAAGTCTGGTGTTCTCACCGACAGGGATGTGTCCATATGGGGATTTGAAGAAGGTGCACATATCTGGAGCTGTTTTGCACCCTGAATAAATGACAGCTCCCATTTAGTTTTGGGCTGGAGCAAGACCAAGCTATACATCCTGCAACTGCAGATGTGAACCTTGTTCTTTGCAGCTTGATACAAAGGGGCACCTTGTGTGATCTTGCCCAGCATCCCATAAAGAGAAGCCAGACTGAATGGACCTGCATCTGTCATTGTTCTGCCTAGGGGCATCCTCCAGGTGCAGTTCTATTGCAAGTTTTACTATTGGCACAGCTGAGCAGACATATTCTGTGGCAGTAACACCTACAGATGAATCAGTGTAGTAGAAGTGCCCTTTTATTTGCAAGAGTGAAATTTCCAGATATGAGTCAGGACATTTTAAGGTGGCAATCACAAGTAGGCCACATTTTCCCTCTAAGCACATTGGTGTGACTTTAACCAGCTAACACAGATCATCAAGTGTAATGTTCCAAACTTATTTCAGGGCACCCAGACAGGAATTGTAACAGAACCTGCTTCAAGGCTTGAACCAATTCACATAAACATTTCAAGTTTCTTCCTGTAGAGACAGAAGGAATGGTGGCATAACACTGTCTAAATCTTTAAATTAATGCTTATATGAATGTGAACAAGAGGCATGAACAAATGCAGTAATAAGATGAGAAGCTGGTTAGTAGCAGCTGAACTTCAAGACTGATTAAGAATTTTCCATTTAAGAAATCTAGAATTTGTGAATGTGAACAAGAGGCATGAACAAATGCAGTAATAAGATGAGAAGCTGGTTAGTAGCAGCTGAACTTCAAGACTGATTAAGAATTTTTCATTTAAGAAATCGAGAATCTTTTTCTTCAGGTTTTTTGTGTCTTCTGGATTTTCAGACTGGTCATTAAAACTCACAAAGCCCTATTTCATCCCTCTTTCTCTCCCACCTCAACAGGTCAGTGACAGCAAGTGAAAAAACATCTTCCTAAAGCTGAAAATTTGTCAAGGTGAACAAGAGCCAGGATGGGGTTGAAAACTGATCCACAGATCAAGCAATAAAAGAAATGAGGATAAATTCAAGATCAGACATTAGCTTGGGTTAATTTTGAACATTCTTTTTCCCTTTAGTAATCAAAAGGATGAACGACAAATTAGATATTAAGAAATAACTTCCTCTGAATTTTACTTTTAATGACTCCCAAAGGTGTCAGAAGTGAATGCAGCCTTTTAAAAATGCTTCTCAGAGGATCAAGTTTAAAGACTATTGATATTTTCCAGATTCCAACTTCTTGTTTTCTATTTTGAAACAGATGAGCACTGTGGGCATTACAGAAAATGTAAAAGGGGATAATAAGAAGTTTGAGATCTGGTATAATGGCAGAGAAGAAGTCTATATCATTCAGGTAATGACAATCCTTTTTGTCTCCAAGGGCTATACTTTCTTTCAATTGAATTGTTTTTAAGAATGCTCACTGTCCTGTACACTCCAGAAACAATAGCCATTGAAAGCTTCATTGTTGAAGCACTTTCCAAGGCACTGAAATGGCTAATTTATTGTGAAAATGGTCAGGATTTTGACCAAAAGAAGAAATAAAGTAATGGAAAATTCCTTGGAATGCTGGACAGAAAAGCAAGGACAGAACTTTGGATTTGTGGTAACTTTTCCACCTTGAGGAGCATCTGCTTTGCTCAAAGCTGGCCACAGTGATCCAATCCGCAAAACTGAGAGCCAGTGTAGGTCCGGACAGCACAGTGATTGATTGGCAGCATGTTTTAACTGGATCTGCTTTGCCTTGTCCTCTTTTGTTCTCAGGCATCTTCTGTTGAGCTGAAAAACACCTGGATTTCAGAGATCCGCAAAGTCCTGACAGGACAGCTGGAGGCATGCAGAGGTAGGGCTCACAGAGCAGCAGCTGGGAATGAGTCCTTCCCCCTGTAGCTGTGTGTGACAATGTGGGGCTGGGACAGCTCACAGTGCCAGCCAGTACCCCCAGTGAAGCCAGCAAGGACCAGCTGGGCAGTTGCAGCATTGCTGGGATTTAAAGCCATGTTCTGATCAAAGAAAATTTCTTGGACTTTTATAAGTGACAGGAATAACTATTCCATTCACAGTTAGTCCCAGGAACATGGTTTTCCTCTGTTTCCCTCTCAAGCCACAACTCCAGAAGCATCCTTTTACCTCAGCATGTGAGGAGATGGGGTGTGTTCTCTGTGTCTCCTGGATCAGATCTCCTTCCACATCTGTGACTGGACACAGCAACTGCTCCTCTGTCTTAGTGTTTGCTTTATTTTGTTTGGGCTTTAAGGGTTTTTGTTTTAAATCTAGTCACCTCTCACCTTATGTTCTAAATGCCGGTTGTTCCATCTTTCCATCCTAATGACCTCCCTGTAAAACATGGCTCATGACATTTCCCTCTCTCAGAGATGTCACTATGAAGGTGCTTTGTGATGTGTTCAACACTGTGAATGATTGAAGCCTCCTAAGTACCTAAGATAATGACACCCTTTTTATATAAGATATTGAATCCCAGACAGACAAAATTCAGTCAGGTTATTTCAGATAGTAAAAGAACATAGTGATGATAGCTATCATAGATGCTATTCTATTTATTCTCTTAGGACAAAAACCCCCCAGACTTTTCCTGAACCTTGGCATTGCCTCTCACCTTGGTCTGTCATTTTCTGCATCTCTCATACACTCATCTCTCTTTAAAGCAAGGTCAGCAAAGCCTCTCCACCCACATCCTTTAGATTCCTAAGCAAAATTGTCCAAGGTGGAAACCTGTGTCTGTGCTTTAACTTTAGAGGTCTTTAATTGCCTGTTTCACAAAGACAATAAGTTCTTGCATCCTCCTTAGGTACAAGGAAACAATTACGAATGTTAGCCTCAGCAATTGAATCCAGCCCATAACAATACACTTATTTACAATGTTTACTACTCTGGTCTTGTGTTCCTGATCTTGTCTTCATCCTTTATACTTTTTATTCTGAATTTTACTGTGATTAGTTCACCAGGAACTGCTGAGGAAAGACCTCAAGATTCTTGTTAGTGCAGTTTTGGGACTGGATCTAGACACTTTCTGATATGGTTTGTAATATTTGCTTCTGAAGTATAAAAGCTGGTTACTTAGGCTACCACAAAGAGTTGCTAATGGAGAAAATGTACATATTTAATAGGATAGAGTGCTAGTCCTCTATTTGTGTTTCTAGGCAAAGGAAATTAAGCTTGTATGTTACCCAGATGAGCATTTGTGAAATCTCTATAGCATACAAGATCTATTACCTATTAGAGTTGCTTTGCATTTTCCAGAGAAAAATATAGGAATCAAGACTGATTGAAGCATTTATATTTGGATGTTCTTTATTGTTTTACCCTAAGATTGTACCATTCTAGAATATTTCAGGTTTCAAGGGACCTCAGGACATCACAGTCCAAGGTTCTGCTCAGAACAGAGTCAGTTATTGGTTAAACAAGGTTACTCAAGACTTTATTCAGTCTGGTCTCAAGACCATCCAAGGGTGACTTTCATCCTACTCTATGAATATAGTCAAGCTTTCCTTTATTGGGAATCCAGCAGAACAGCAGTCAGAGGATGTAAATTGTATCTCATTTGCTATTGCAACTCTTCCCATTGCCTGTTCCCAAATGGTCACATGAATCAAACCCCTTACTACAATAACTGGTGTCAGGAAGCACATGCTTTGGCCTGTGGTTTTGAAGTTTCTTTTTTTAATGACTCACAAAAGAACAGGCCTTAATCCAAGACTGCATATTTTTACAACTGAGCATTGCGATGGGAGAAGGAAGAGGGATATATTTGTTTGTTTGGCTGTTTTTAATGACTGTAGTTAGGAATTGCACAGGGGGTTGGAATGTTGGAAGGAACCAGCTGAGGTGAATGAGTGAGGGGCAGAGAAGGTGGCCACAGGATGGGATAAATAGTTTAAAATATGGGTCACTCATGTCCAAACACTCTGTGTGTACCCAACCCTGTCAGACACTGCAGTGAGCAGAGAGTGCTAACGAGGCTTTGGGCAACACCTTGATCCATCAATCCCCAAGAACGCAGCTGTCTCCTGCAGGCAAAGGAATTACTGATACAGCTCAAGAGATTTGTGTAAGGCCGTGAATCAGTTGCCAGACCCAGGAGTGGAGCGACTTCCCACTCCCCAGCCAGCATGGGCATTTCTACCCCACCAACAAAGGACTTGAGTTTAAGTCCTTTCAGCACTGCCCCGTGCCCTTGTCACTTCTCTTTCACTGATAAGAGGTTCATCTTTTTCAGAGTGAAATAGCCCAGGGATCTCAGCAATGTGAGAGTTTGAAAGCAGCTCCTTCCATTGCTTCCTCAGTTCTCAGTGTCTGACTCTCCTGGCCCTGAAATCCAGGCTGAGCAGCTGTCTTATAATTTTTCTTCACTCAGCGTTTACTGGACAAAGTACAAGTCTGTTGCTACCTTGTGGCCCATCAAAAAGAGTGAACAAGTGGCATATATAACATTTTCTGATTACTTATTGTTTGTCCAGGATGCTGACAAAATCATTCTGCAGAGAGATGGGGATATATTCTGCCATGTGGCTGAGTATGCAAAAGGACTGATGGACATGTGTTGCTAAATCCAGACAAAGCTGTGAACCACAAAACTTGTATTCTGGGAAAAAGACCATTATGTCCATTCTCTAGATCGATATCATGCAGTTAGCTAGGAAGAGGTATTGAGAAAAGAGAAGGCAGTAGGGAAAGAAATGTCTTTTGTGGTGAAAAAATGTGAGTTGTTTGGTGAGCTAAAAGGTTTCATTAAGATCTTAATATGCCTTTCTCTTCGAGTACAAGCATTCAATTTTGATTGCAGTGGCAGTCAAAATCTCTCCTCTCCTGTTTCTCTCTCCCACCTTCTACATAAAAACAGAAGCAATTGAAACATTTTGGAGCAGCTTCTTTTTACTTTTTCTTTAACAGAAGCAAGTCAACTGCACCAAAGAATCACTGAGAGTGTGTATCATGCACCAATGGATTCCTCTAATGCAAGCAGGTAACCACAGCTGCCTTGACATATCAGGGCCATGTTTTGTCTTGCATTTGTGCTTTTGCAGTACATAAATTCATAGGGTTTTGTGTTTAGCTTCCTTCAATTGATTTCAAATTCTTTAAAGATAAATAAACACAGATAAAGGTTTGCTCAAGAGAGAAGTAATATTACAATGCAGAATTAATTTCAAAGACTAACTCAAATTCAGACAAAAAGTATTGGAACATTTCCAGGATCTTAAATGGAGCAGTCAGCAAAGTTTTGTAATAACCCAGTTGCTGGGCAAGTTTAATGTAAGTTGCCATGGGATTTCACTGTAAAATTTTAGCAGGATCAACCAAGCCAGGAGATCCCAGGTAACAGCCAGCCTTTGAGAATTGTACAACTCAATGCAAGAAATATTAAACAGATGTAGTGCTATTAATCCTGCACCATATTTTCTCTAGGCTTGGTTAATTTGCTTTTTTTAGGGTTCAAGGGTGGAAATCTTTCAGCAGAACCACCTTGAGGATAGAAGAAAAATATTCCAGTTAAGATATGAAGTCCAATCACAAAAATGTTTCAGAAGAATCCAGATGTGTGTCCTTCTTATAAGGCTCTTAAAGTGAGATTTTCCAGAGCAGAAATTATAGACCAAATATGTCAGCAGAAAATTAACTCCAGGAAGAAATGCCATGTGATCAGCTATTTGTCCTAGAGTGGATTAAACCAAAGGAAAAATGAAGTGTTTGTTGTCCTCACTCTGCCAGCTGTGCCAAAAAAGGAGAGGTCAGATGCTCCTGCTCCAAATGCTGGGTTATTATAGGAACAGGAAGAATACAGTGAGTCTTCATGAAAGATGCTTCAGTGAGTCTTCATGAAACAATGCTGTGGGCTGTGATGAATGGCACAAAGTTTGTTATCTGTAATATATGTCCCCAAGATAAGCTAGGGCAGCAGAATTGCAGCATCAAGCACAGTCTGTGCTCGTGGCTGACATGACCAAGCAGCCCCAGCTGTGAGAGGTGCTGGAGGCCAGTGGAGACAGCATTTGATAAAGAGCAGCCAGCACCACCAGTGCTCTGCCAGCAGAAGGAGGCAGATTAATCACTGACATGTTATCTACCCAACAAACACCTACTCCAGGCTGCCCATGTGTGACAGTGACTCTGCTGTTTGTTGGGAATTGTCAAACCTCTGCTGTGACATTGGGGAAATCTGTTTGCAGGATGCTTTCCCCTCCCCAAGCTGTATCTGTCCCATGACAAAGACTATCCCCTTTACTGTTTTTGTGCCACGAACATCACTTGGGACTGCAATTCCATGAGATAAGGCAGGCCTGACTTGGGATTGTAGCTGAGGTGTTGGGAAAAGGGACACTTAGAGCCAGTGTCCTTAATACAGGCAGCTATTGAGTGTCCTAAGTCCTGTTCAATCTATTTCAATTCTCTCTCTCCAAGTTCTTCCACAAAGTTCACTGTTTAATCCAAAAATGGGATGCCCTGTGGTATCTATTGCTGCTGTATCTCTCTCAAGGGATGGCTGCTGCATTTAACTGATAATGAAATGATCCCTTTGTATTGTTTTCTAATCTATTTAAACACATCACACTTATATAGTCTATTGTTCTAACTGCTTAACTATCTGCTTTGTTGGAAATGACTGATGCAGTCATACATCCATGTAAAAATATCCCGTGAACATGGATAAACACAAACTCTTGGAATTTGGCTGCAGATGCCGTTTCAGAAAAGCTCGTGTATTTTCTTGGTGTCTTTCTCACAGCTGTAAATCTTTAACTCTGTCAGCTGCATGTTTCACAGTTATCCCAGCCTAGCTGGGAAGAAAGAGAGGAAAAAGAATAAGGAAATGTGAGTGTGCTTTGGATTTGTTCCCATGTTTATTTTGAGCCCCATTTTGTACCCGATATTAGGCTGCAAAATCACATTTTGATTTAGTACAGGAGGTAACAGAGACCTTGCTAAGATTCCATCAGAAACAGGTCAGAAGTTCAAATGCAAAACAATGAGTCCTGGACTGCCTTATGTTTAGAAAAGGTATTTACAAATCTCTAGTATTTAAAATGTTTTTAAATTGTTAATGATATCTTGGACCTTCCCTTACAGCAGAACGAGCCCTGTGAATGTTAAGTGTAGCAGTTCACATGTTAATTGCAAGCAGCAGTTTAATTGCTGATACATGTCAATAACAAGCACTTTGGCAAAGAGTATTTCAAATGTGTAGATACAATGATTTGTGTGGAGCAGTCTGCCAAAGATAACAGTCAAACACCCAAATTAAACCACCAGACATTTGCAAAGAACCACAAGAAAACCTTGCAACTTGAATGTCCTACAAACCAGAGACAGGGGGGTCCATCCCATCACCCAAGGCCAGTACCTGGGCAGGTTTGTCAAGGTGGATCCTCCCCGTTGTGATTCAGCTGCAGACAGGGATATCCCAATGGGATTCATGCTGCAAAGAGCAGAAGAAACAGAAGTTGGGGAAGCAAATAGAATTCATATGTTGCTTATGCATGGTATGACCTCTGCATAACCATCCATTATCCCTTTGTCTCCTGGAGACAAATGTATTTATGCTGCAAAGGAAGGAAAATCTGGGTTGTCTTTTCTTACCTGGCTTCCCACGCCAACCCTTTCAAATCTGCTGCACTTGCAAAAAGAACTTGTGCAGACAACCAGCTTGTTTCTCCATTTTTCCCTTCTCAACTCTGATAAAACACAGCCTTCACTGTGTTGTGTGGAGAGGAGGCAGGATGGGTTTTCCCCAACACACATGCCTGCACAGATGCAGGCTTTTATAGCACACAGCATTTTAAAACCAGCCCTTTGTTCCTTAGGCTTCCATGTCTGAGGGTAAAAAAGAATGCATAGTATTCAGTGCTTTATTAGATGTTTACCAGGAATGTTACTATTTCTGTATTTCTTTTGTCCCAAGGTATAGCAGGAAGTCATCAAGTATATATGAAAACAAATCTGAGACATCAAATGTGGATGCATCAAACAATAAAAATAGGAATTCCAGTCCCAGCGCCAGACAAAAGAGAGGTAGGAGTTCTCACAGAGATTTTGCTTCTAAAGGGTAATATTTTTATATTTGCACATATTTCTGGAGTTTGATGAGGATACTTTAAATCTACGTTGTTTCAACCCAACATCCAAAAAAAAAAAAAAAAAAAAAAGCTGCAAAGCTGAATGACTGTACCATGAAAATTTGTGAGTACCAAAAGACATTACCAGTTTAGGGTTTTTAAGTCTGAGTTTTGATGGTTTATAGTACTCTTTATACAACTTATGTTGTTTAAAAATAGAACTTAGGGGACAGTAGCATATATGTTTTAACCTTCTGCACCCTGGTGAAGTTAACTTCTAGACATACTTAATCTATTTTTTTTTTCTACAGACTTTGCTAACTGATTTCTTTGTTTAAGTCAAGGACAGTTTTTTGCCTTCTCTGTGTATATCAGTTCTCCTCAGGTGTACAGTAAATAAACCCACAGGCAGTCACAGAAAGTCCCTCCATTATTTGAGGCCATAAGTACAACAGATCTTCTATACAACAGAAGTTAAAATAAACACTATAAAGAAACAGAATCTCATCTGACAGCAGGAAGAGAAAATCTTTTGATAACAGTTTCTCTTTTAGGCAGTATTTCTTTATGTTGAACAAAGAATTTTCTACTAATATGAAAAAAGAAAATTGAGGTCTTAAGACATGCCCAAATGAGGCATAAAGTGGCAGCCCCTTTATAAATATATTTAAAACGAAAATGGAATATCTCTGTTGGAAAAATAGGCTATTCACCAAAAGATTTTTAATTGCATTAGGTTTTCATGCTGGGAAAAAAGTTTTGGATTCTTCATTAAGAAACCCAATCTTAAAATTCTTTTTCAGTAAAATTTTATTTTTAAAACATTTAGACTTTTTTCCTGATTCAAGAAGTGGAAAAGTGGCTTTTCCTTTTAAATTTATAAACCCCTTTAAAAAAAAAGAAATCCAGGGAGATTACTGATGGTTTCTAACTGTCCAGCTTACTAAAGAGTGTGGGATGTGGGAACAGGGCTCACATTCCTGCTGATTGTCATTCTTCTGTCTTCTGCTTTCCCATGAGCAGCTCCTCAGGGCTCTGGCTGGGATCCCACCGGCTCAGCCCAGAGCATCCTCTTCCTCTGGTGGGTGGCTCTTCCTGCAGGGCTGGCCAGTGAGTCCATTCTTTGGTGATTCGAGTGTCCTGTGTATCCTGAGCTGCACACCTCGCTCTGCAGAGCCAGCAAAATGCCCTCCAGCTCCAGATGTCCCACCAAAACTCGAGTTTGTGTCCCTGTAAGGCACCTACGGCTGGGGCTCTGCAAGGGGCTGAACACAAAAATGTCCCAACACCCGGCACAGAGCCTGGGGCTCTGCCAAAACTGTCTCTTTTGTGCCACCTACTGCTTGTAAAATGCTTCCAATATCGGTGTAGTTAATGTGAACACCGATTATTTTAAAATACTGGGGAGTTTCTGCAGTACAGAAGTGGAGGGTACTATTGCCAAGCTATTTCAGTTTTGTTATTCTTATTGATAAGTGGATGTGGCAGAGTTTTCTACATGTAAACCAGTGTTTTGTGTGGACCTGACTGGTGGAGTCACTGCCTTGAGATAAAAGAGGAGCAAATCCTGCAGGAACCTCTGGGGACCCCCATGTCTGACTGCCCTGCTCGAAGCAGGGTCAGCTGCAGCAAGCTGCTCACAGCCATGTCCATTTAGGTTCTGAACAGCTCCAAGGATGGTGACTCCATAATTTGCCATGGGGACACTGTCCTAGGCTTAACCCCTTTCACAGTAAAAAGGGTTTCTCACATTTTTAAATGGAATTTCCCATATTTCAATTTGTGCCCATTGCCTCTCTCATCCTTTCACTTGCTCCACTTAGAAGCATCTGGCTCCATCTTCTTTCTAAGATCCTCTTGAATCTTTTGTTCTCCAGGCTGTGCAATCACAGCTCTTTCACTCTCCTCATGTCAGCTACTGCAATCCCTTAATGATCTTCATGGCATCTCACTGGATTTTCACTGGAGTATGCCCATGTCCTGAGGAGCCCAGGAGGGTGTCTCTTGTGCTGAGATGAGGGGAAATGTCACCTCCCTGGAACTGCTGGCACAGCTCTGCCTGATGCAGCCCAAGATGCTGTTGGCTTTCTTTGCCACAAGTATGCATTTCAGGCTCTCGTTCAACCTGCTGCCCATCAGGACCTGGTTCTTATTATGTTTGGAAATAATTTCCAGGGTTATTTGGTATACCTGCAATATGAAGGAAAAGGTTTGAATGACTGAGGTGGAAACAACATGACTTTAGAGACCAATGCTTTGCTGGTGCAGAAAGGCTGTGGGTACTTGTGAAATGCAAAGGGGTCCCTCAGTGAAGTGATTCAACTGCAGAGCTGAAGAACACAGGAGCCCACCCCTCTGCACCTGCACTCTTGTACTCCCTGTGGGACTCTCTGACAATTAAATGCTCTGGATTTTCTTGCCCTAAGAAATCAGGAAGTAAATATATTTTACATACCAGTTTTAAATTCTTTATAAGCTACAGTATTTGTACAAAGATTGCCTGGCAATGGGAGCAGCCATGGCAGGGAATGGCCAACACAGGCTGTTTGGAAGCCAAAGGCAGCCAAAGCTGAAGCTGCTGCTCGGGAGCAGCTCCTCACCAGATCACCTGCCTGGCCCAGAGCTGGCACTGGGTAGAAGGAGCTCAACCACAGTGACATAATTCTTCTGTTCCTCTGTTCCTGTCACGCCCACCTATGCATGCAGGCACCTCGGATCCTGGACTACCTTGGCTGCAAATCAGGAAGTGATGGGATGCACTTTCCTTTGGAAGCACAGCTTATCTGTCTGTTGCTTGTCTGTCAGTGTGGATTCACTGTCTCTCTGTGTTCCCTTTGTACTTTTGGTCTTCATTTGTCCCTCTAAGGATTTTTATGTGACAGAGGAGGAAAATCTATTGGTTAAATCCCAAGGTTCAGAAGCAGGCACCCAACACATGGTTTTTCTCCTGCTCCTTTGCCATAAACCTTGTGGGTGTTATCTGCCCACACCAAGAAAGGAGCAGATGGAGGAGTTGGCAGGAATGTGTGGATCTGGGGGTTTGATCTAGGTCCACCTGTTTCCTGCAATGTGAGTAACTGAGTATCTTTCAAGCTCAGAGCCTCAGGACCTCGATCCATCTGTGACTGATCTCTGCAGAGGCAGCTGTCAGACAGCATGGCTGATTATTCATGCAGGAGCCTGGCATATGAGCTTTGCTGGCATGGTATCCTTACATCCCAGCAAATCAGGAGATCAATTGCATGACTCTCTGCAAGCTTCAGAGGCTTTAGAAAGGTTTCAGCAGGTAAGGCTGAAGGTGTACCTGGTGAGGGCAGACTCTTCAGTGGCAGTGCTGGATTGCAGAAGTGGGACTGCTCCCAACAATTGCATGTCCTCACTTTCTGAAAAGGTACTGTAATTACTCCCTTTATTGTTTTTGTGTGGCTTTTGTCCTGTTCTGATAAATAATATTTCCTCTGTGAGACAAAGGGTTAGTATGCAGTGATGGAGAGGGTGAGCATCAAAGGAGGAAGAACCAAGGTGAAAGCATAGAAGCAGAAATACAGAAGCATTAAATTATAATGTGATCAAGTAGATAAGAATGCACCAAGAGTCAGCACTTCTGTAAGATTCTAGCTACAAGATTAAGGCTTCATGTAGTAGTGAGGTCCAAGATGTACAAACAAAGTTCAATGCCTGAATATAAAAATAAGTGGATTTTAAATCTTGTGACTCAAGAAAATCAATGACAGAACACAACTTTCAGAAATAATTCCTTAATTTGCTCCCAACACTGCAAGGCTTCTTCTCTTGTTTCTCCCTACAACTCAGTGCTCCAACCAATGATGTGTTTCCATAACAGAAGGCACTAGCTTGCTGCTAAATTGTATTTTCCTTTGATGAGAGCTACCTCCCTTCGCCTGTTATTCTTTTGTTTTGTTTTGTTGTTTTCTCCATTAAAACTCAGTGAGCCAAACTCAACCCAGGGGCTCTGTTTGGTTCAGCTGGTTTACTCACCCTGACCTCATGTCACCTTTCTGATTGATTAGCTCTTGCTCAGGCTTGAACTGAATCAAAATTTATTGATTTCTTTTTAGTTGTCATCCAGTGCTAACCTTTCCTTTGCCATAAGCTGAACAGCTGTCCCTTCCTTCCTTATTTCTCTTCCCTCTCCCTCTCTCTCCTAGTTGATGCTTCCAGCAGCCTTAACCTTGAGCGCACAGCGCTTGCTAGAAAGCGATTCACATTGCAAGGTCTTTCCAACCGCAGAGCTCCACCCAAAGGTAAAATCACCCATGCAGCATTTGGTCTCAGGCCATCTGTCTCCTGCACTCCCACAATGTTCTCTCCATCCCATGGTGCCATCCATCACCGTTTCCTAAAGTGCTGCTGCATCTCACCCAAACGCTCCTTTCTGGTGCACACAAGTGGCTCCTCTGCTCAAAGACACTGTCACCAAAAATTGCTCCCAGAGCAGCATTGGCAAGGCAGCCTCTGGGCTGGCTGGCTGGGTCTTTTACTGGAGCACAGTGCAAATAACATTTGTTTCCAGTTTCTCTCAAGGGTCAAAGTGTGAACTGGTTTTAAGTGATCAACTCAACTTCTTTCAGCAGCTTACAGGCTTGAAGAAAAAGAGTATCGCATCTGTTGTGCTACATGAGATTTTCATGTGTGAAATCATTCATTGGTTGGAAGTCTTTCTTTTTTCAAATATTGTTCAGCTGTGGCCTAGTGGGGAACCAGAATTCAGGAGATCTGGGGTTTTATTCCACTTAATTATGTTATATGACACTGTAAAATGCTCTGTTTTGGGTATTTGTGCATAAATGTTTAGTAGATATCCGTGAACAGAGAGCATTGCAAGTTCCTGTGAAAGCTGTACAGGGAAGAGACTTTAGAGGAAACAAAGAAATGTGAATAGAAATTAAATTGAATGATTAATTTCAATCACTTTCTGAAAAGGTACTGTAATTA